GTCATGTTGTGTATTCGAGAGGAAGTGCGTGGAATTTCACATTATTTGTTGCCGAGGTACTCTTAAAAAAGTCGTACTCAATGGTGGCATCACTTGACTTGATCATGTCACTCGTTTGCTCATAAAATATGTATAGTAGTTAACTCGAGCTTGATTTTTACTTGAATCCACACTCCTTGTACTTCACGCTAAGCTGTACAGTGCACGAGTACGTCACATGGTATCGTTGTGTATCGATACTTAATTGGAAAATGTTGGACTATTACACGCTACAGCTCGTTGAAGCGGTGTCGAGCTTCGAGTGATGTAGTAAGACGCCATCTTTTCCCTGAAGATTTGGAGCCCAGCCATAACAAATTCCAGCTAAATGATAAATCTATACGGATGTGTGAATTATTATACCAAATATGGCACTGGGATCGATTCCCGGCCTCAGCGGTCTCAGAAGTATTATACGCATTGGGATTTCTTTCCCATTGTCACATCATCCAAACGGCTCTACTACAGGCTAGAGGTTATACCCGCAGGGCCTTTACGCTGAAATCCAGCCTGCAGTTACCACGCTTCGACGTGTTTTAATTTGGAAACAATTCGTTAAAGGGGTCGAAAATTGATTTTTGTTGGCGAGGCTCTGCGGTCTGATGCGATTTTAAATATCTATTCTACTACAACGAATGTTTCAAGTTTGTTTGAATAGTGGCATTACTATCGAACCAAAATATTATCCTCTTGGCAGAGAGACAAGAAAATGAAAACTACTTAAATGTTTCTAATATTAACGAGAGATCTGTTTGCAGGGGCTTAAACACTGAAGCCTAGGTCTGTTGTTACTCTGATAAACCCATGATTAAAAAGCTAATCCTGTCACAGTAATTGTGATGATCATACTCGAGAGACGCGTGCTCCTGGCTGGAAGCCGCTCTGTGTGTGTATACGCGGGACTTGATGACCGGATATTAGGCTAAGAACCCATGTACCTCATGCACCTACGAAGCAGAATTCGGGTCAAAAAGATTCGAACATGTTTTTGCAAAACGGATTGCCTCTTTTCAAAATCGAACTTGTTTTTTGTTTTTTGAATGTATTTTTAAACGAATGACATTTTTAAAAGGTCGTATTTTTTATTTTGAATGTATTTTTTTAAATCAAATAAAATTTTTAAAATGCAATACAGGTTGTTTTTTTTTAGATTCTAATGAACTTTTAAAGAGCGGATGAATTTGTATAGACTGAACATATTTTCTAGTTTGGAATAAATTTTTAAAGAGTGAACGTGTGTTCAAAATTCGAATTAGATTTTATAGATCCAACATTTTCTCAAGATTGGAACGAATTATTAAAGTCTTAAGATTTTTTAAGATTGGAATAAAATTGTTGACTTCGAATTTATTTTTAAAATTGAAACACATTTCCCAACGTAAAGCTGTCATCCCATGCACGCATCTCATTTCATCCGAATTGAGAAAGCACTCCAATTGAGAAAGCATCCAAATTTCTAAAGCATGCGCGCAAAAAATCCAATCTTTTTGACAGTGTTCAGTCCGAAGTTCCGAACCCTTTTGGACGATTGGCCTTTACTGCCGTTGCCTTTGTTTTTGGAGCCGCACCTAGGAGTTTGCCTGCGCATGCCGAAAGTAGCTGAATCGTCCAGAAAGGTTTGGAACTTCGGGCTAATCACCCGTCAAAAAGATTGGATGCTTTTTAAAAGCTCATGCTTTAGAAATTTGGATGCTTTCTCAATTTGGATGCTTTCTCAATTCAGATGAAATGATATTTCGGGTAAAGTGCGTACTTGGAATGATAGCTTTACGTTGGAAAAGTGTTCCCATTTCAAAAATATATTCGGAGTCAACAATTTTATTCCAATCTTTAAATGTTTGGACTTTAAAAATTCGTTCCAAGCTTGAGAAAATATTGGATTTGTAAAATCTCATTCGACTTGTGAAAACATATTCACTCTTTAACTTTTTTCCAAGCTAGAAAATATATTCCGTCAGTACAAATTCATCCGCTTTTTAAACATTCATACGAATCTAAAACATATTTACTGCATCTTAAGCATTTCATTCGGTTTTGAAAAATGCCTTCCAAGAGTCAAAAAGACGATCTTTTAAAACGATATTCGTTTTTGAAAAAAGGGCATTCCGTTTAGCAAAAACATGTTCCAATCTTTTTGACCCGAATTCTGCTTCAAACCCACCCCTCTCTGGAGAAGAGTGTTGCTTGAACATTAGGTTGGTTTTCTCCATGATTACTTCATATTTCCGGATTTTTGAAAATCACCAACTTTTGTGTCATTCCAAAGAAGTAAATTTCATTCTCATGCTGTCGAGCTGGCATAACAGGGATATCAAATTGATTCAGTTTCTCGCTGTCTCGCTCCATTATTCAGTCCTCGAGCAACCTCTGAATTTGCTTCCTGCAAAAAAATGTTCAAACAAAACGCCGGTTGTTGAAGGAAACTGTTTCAATATCGTGTCCCTCAATGTCTCTGCGACTTGTCCTTCCCCCGAGGATAAAAACTTGGAATAAAGTTTCCTAGCTGCGCCACGCAATGACTGGTTGCTTCGTACAAGACATTAAGGACGTCGAGGATGCTAGATCTCCCGTAAGATGAGTGCCAGACTTCATCAAGTCTGCTTGGATGCACCTTGTCTTCCAAGAAAATCCTCCGAGGTTGATGGGTCTTTTGTGTAGAGTAGATGTGTTTATACCGAAGGCCGCCTTCCTTGCGCTGAGTATCCCCTAGATAGGTAAGAACTTTAAAACCCGTTGCGGGAGGGGGTGTTGCTTCGACAGATAGATCTTTTCCAACGTGTGCCTTCTGAAATGGAAATTAATTGCCAAACAATCTTGGATAAAGTTGAAATATCAAATTGAATAAAAAAGAAACGAAGCAGACAAAAATCACATTGTTGGCTTCTTTTTTGGGGTTGGGGGTGGGGTGAGGGCACGGCCTCCTCCCCCCCCGATCCGCCCTCGATCAGAAACGATGCTAGGCGTGGGACATCCAACCGAATTTGTTGACAACGGCCTTCCACTTGGCCGACGTATGCGTACTCCTATTTTGAAAACCAGCAAGGCTTCGTCTTTAGCCTCAGTTGATGCGTCTAGAAAATAATATATTGTGTATTATTTAGTAATTTTGACCCACTACATAACACCTTGGGCTGGTATTGCTTCGAAGGGAATCACGCCCTTGCTGATTATCTTTTCTATAGTTTCTTGCGGCTTTGGCTAAGAGTTGATTCATTGGTGGCGCTATTTCAAATAGGTGAACACAGCAGCTCCGCAGCTGACGGTCACTTGGGTCAGGACGCTGTGCTGTTTGTTCGTCTGGCGCACTTCGAACTCTGACTGAATTGGTGACGCTTCTCGTTGACTAGCCCTAGCCTCGCCTCTTTGAGTCAGTGACACAATCGCGGCAGTGTCGTTGACCAGATTAAATGTCCTTCAATTACAATGGAGGTGATTTGGACAAAATTTGGATAAACCACACAATAATGAGAACTTCAGAAAAAATGCGCAAACCACACAGTAACGCCATCAGTAAGGACTCCTCCTTCAATACTGATCAGTGTAACTTACACCAATTCCTCGACTCCGTTTTCACTAAACTACCCTGAGACATCCTGGGGCACTAATTACGACGGGATAAGGAGAGGGTTTTGATGACCTTTTACCACGGTCTGTTGATTAGTTCAATAGTATGGTGCAGGCTATGACCATTTCACGTCAGAATCAATTTCTAAGATGTTATGGATAACTTAATGTAACATACTTCACTGAGCGTTTTTGCCCAGTCTCGTTTATCAAAAACATAATACCGGGGATGGATTTATTTAATCAATATCCTCCGTCTGCATCGAAGCGTTAATATAAAATTGGAGGCAATGTTGTCAATTATTTGGCTACTGATTCAGAGATCTTGGAAACCAATTCAGACCTCTACGATTGATATATACCATGGCAAGAACTTTCATCAGTTCACAGAACCCTTCACTTTTGTCAGAAACATGCCTATGCTTTGTTCTTTCATTAGGGAGTTAAATTGAGCCAGGTATCTGTTGCACAGGTGATAAAATTCCCACAGTAGTTCTCCACAAAAGCACTTTTTAGGAAATTCATCCCTTTTTTTTCTTTTTGAATTTTCATTCCAGTCAAAAAACGACGCTTTTCTCCTGTTAGCAGTAGTAAACGGGTGTTTATCTATCCGTCTATTATGGTGTTCCATATGTGCCATCTATGGGAAGGATAACAAATAACAATTGCGGCGCTGGGAATTGTGGATAGGAATGTTTAGAAATGAATTAAACGACTTATTAAGCGGCGGGAGGGATACCTTTGTCCGTCAGGTTGTGAAGGATGGATGCAAACAAAACAGACAAGGTCGGATGAAACAGAAGAGATATGATAGGCGTAACTGAAAAATCTGAAAAGAAAGAGTGTAAAGATAGCAGTATAAACACAGACAGTCCCTTGCTTACGGTCGTGTAACGATCTGTACGAAAGAACATTTGCTCATCTACGTTAAAGCATGGAGGAAGGAACCTCCATGGTTAAAGTAGACATGGGAAAATTGTAATTAATCCGCTCTGTGGAATGAAATAACTCTTCAGTTTCATGGAAAAGGAAAAGAAAATCGACCGCCGATGGAAATCTCGCGGAGCCGCCTCTGAAAGGACTTAGATATGTACATGTACTGCTGCCCGACAACGCTGTTCGTCGAAGTTTTCCATTGATACAAATCGAAACCGGTGGACCGTGACGGAGCAACTTGGAAAGATCTTGGGCCGTGTCCGAACTACTTGCATTGGCTGCGGCTTGAAATGACACGACTGCAGCAAAGCGTCGTACCCTTTTTTTGTGCGGAATTCCAAGCCGCAGCCTAAAATGTTGAAGTGCGCCGCCTGGCGACCAGTCGACCTTCACGAATTTTGCCCTTGCATACGTCATGCAGCGCAAGCGAGCGCCCCAGCAACCTCCCATGTCACGTGACTAAACAACATGGCGACTGACGTCTCTGCAAAGACATGAAAGAAAAGCTCGCTGAACTTTTACAGGAGTTTACTTACAAAATCGACTGTCGAATAAATATTGTTTGCTAGGAATTGAACGGATGTCAGGGGCTCAAACTTCATGAATGCCTCATAAGTTCCAACATTTTCTCGCTCACTTATTTAGGGTCACGGATTTCACAACTCGTTTCCGAAGGTAACGGTACGAAGCAACCAATTAATTACCTGTGGGCTATGCAGTTTGGTGTACCTGTTGTCTTGCGCGACAATGATCCGCTTGCCTACCTCAACACGTAGGATTAGGAGATAGAAACTTCAAGAAGGGTGATATAGAAATGGCAACAGTCAACACCGGTTTCTCTTTGCTAGCACGTGGAATTGGCGAGGAAAAGGTTCATCGGGGACACAGGAAATTAGAAGTTTCCCTGGAACCTGAGGTGAGACTTAGGCCTAACATTTGAATTTTGATCAAGTAGGCTAGGCCTAAGCCGAACGTTAGAATGCCTGGTAGGTCTGTGCCCAGTGGGATGTCTGTTTACCACATCATCCACAGCCACTCCACCCATTCTCATGGTCGGGATGACATTACTGAGTCTTGATTCTTTCTCTGATAAATTGGAGGGGCCTATTCTATATTTCACATTTGAAACTCAAAGGGGCCAAACTAGTGTTGCGATCTATGGAGAAAAATCTGAATTACTGACTAGACTCTTAACCTTTACATCAAATATGCCTGAAATTTCACTATTTATGTGCTATAATTATAAATAGCTCCCACACTGTACCAAAAAGGTGTCAGTTATTTTGATCATGTTGCACCAACAAGAGGAAGAAACATGCGACTCCCTGTACAAAGTGAATTGCTACTCCTCCCATGTCCTGCAACTTGGCTCTTGTGCCTTTGCCCTTCTACCTTTGCCCATGTGCTACTCTGATACAAGTAGCAGGCTTTGTAATAGTATCCCTGGAATTGTGGGGTTAGATGTCTGCTTCACTTTGTGTAGTAAAGCAGACATCAAACTCCAGTTATTGGGATGCTAGTACCTAGACGTGCTAGAGTATAGCACATGGGCTGATGAAACAATCCCAGATGTCTTCCAATTTTCTTGATGAAACTATGTGTCTGAAGTCCCTGGAGTGCAGTGAGTCTGCTTTGTCTCGTTGGAGTTGCAGTGGTTTATACACTGGAAAACTCACATGCAAATGTATTTCCCTCCAGGGAAAATGTTCAGGTAGTCACTTAGAAAACACTTTTTTTCAGACCAGTCTCGTAGAGTTTGTTTCTGCATTCAATTGGGGACCTTGAACAATACAGGACAATAAGGTCCCCGATTGACAGAGGGTCCCCGATTNGTGGGTTAGTACACAGAGTGTCATCAAGTGGCATTTGTGTATGGAACTCTTTCCCCCTTTCAGCGCCCACCAGGTTACCTTCCTCCATTCGCAAAGGTTTTAACTAGGTGTGCAAATGAACTTGATTTTCTGCATATGAAATTTGTGTGGTTCAGTTTTTGTTGCTCTTTCGCACTTTGGTGAAGGGTCAGTGACCACGGGGAAATGAAGTTCTCAAGGTGGAGATTGAGTCATCTTGTCTTCTGAGCCCTGACATTTTCACTGACTTGTGGGCAGACTGTTTCCATGAATACCAGTGATCATTTTGGTTGACTTTGTGCTCCTTTTTTTTTTGCTTTTCTGCAGGATTACCACAATATTCAAGGGCGGAAGTTTTACTTGCCTCCCATCCAGCAGAGGGCGTGGCCACAGGAGGAACTGGACTCACCTCGGGAGCTCCACACCCACAAGACGTTCACGACGCGGAAGGGCGCTCTCTTGCTGTACTCGGAGGATCTCGCCTTGACCGCCAAAGAGAGGGCGGAGAGCAATAAGGCCTTGGAGGCAGAGGACACGCTGAATCTGAACACATTCCATGACCTTAGAAGTGCAATCTTGTCCTATGGGGCAAAGGTTTGTTTGATGTCAATGTCAAGTTTGGTGTAGTAAGGATATCGTTCATCAGCCAAAATTCTTTAAATGTTGGGTACGAGTAGATTATTATATTCATGTTCAGCTCATAGAAATTTACAATAACATAAATCAAGGACAAATGACAGGTGCTTGCTGTCCACTCTGAGTATATTTGTACATGTGAATGATCTGCCCCAGCATTGTTGCCAACCAGACTGTTTTTCACAGAGGTTGATCCTGTTGACAGGTTGCATGGAGAATGAAAAGGATATTCATGACAAACCACTTAGCGGACTTTCAGGCTGTGCATTTTTCAGTTCTTTTTTTTTTGTACAGCTTTGTACCATGTGTACGTTGTGTTTTTTGCTGTTCTGTAATAGACACCAGAACAGGCAAGATGGTGTTGGTTTGATGTAAGTCAGCTTACTAAACAGTGCATTGTCAGGAATTTGAAAACTTGATTAGAGGTTTTACATGGCATCCATCTTGTAGGTCAGCACTTTTGTTCCACGGGGTCACACAAAAGTAGACCACTTGTGCATACCCAATGGAACAAAACCTCTAAGCTGCAAGATGGCCACTGGCAAAACTTCTGTGTACACTAATATATGTCAAGCTTTATGGTCATTGGCACTGTCCAGGATGCATCATCCGAGCCAGTCTATCTGGGCTTCGTCCACAACAAACATGCCCCTACCACCCACCGGGCTGTTCGACCGGGCTTCTCAGCCAAGAGGTACCTGTCCAATTGGTCCAGGAGCTGGGATGACTCGATACTCAATACCCTCAGAAACAATGGTAAGGGGAGAGAAACACTTTGAGGAGTGACTACTCGACAGTAACTATGATTGCAAGGTAGCCTATACAGCATTTACAGACACCCATTGTGTATGGGTAACAAGTCATGTTTATGATGCGTAGTGAATGATATGTTGTGTTTTATAGCCTACTTAGCCACACTGAGACCATGAGTGCAGAAAAACATGTCCATGTAAGGCCAAAAAGTCTCCGGTTTCTGGTCAGGGGCTGACTCCAAAAGTGGTGCAGTGACGTGGCTTTTTAGAAATTCTTTTGCCTTCACCTTTTTTTTCTAGAAACGTTCATGTGCTTGTATATTCGTACTGCTGTTACCAACATTGAATTAGACTGGCCTCCCTCACTATTTACTGTTTAAAAGCATTTTCAGCTTGTAGATGTACATAGGACATAAGACCACCTTGTTTGTGTGATTCCCAGATGTAAATTTAAAATACGGAAACAACGCCATCTACATGTAAATGCATGGTGGCCTAGAAAGACTCTTTTACTTTACATGTACCTATTACTCAACCGTACCCCATCTTTAACTTTTAAAATTACGCAGTAGCACGATGCCAGTTGATCAAGCAAGTTGGGCAGCATTGGACATCGTATTATACCAAATATAAAACTTTTTTATTTTGCTGACGTGCAGGTCTACAGCGACGGCTGGACTGACCAGACTTTTTTGGGGGCCTAAAACAAAATCATGCTAACTTTGTTAAGTATTGAGCCAACAACTTTCCCTCAAATTAACATGAGACAAAATACAGTGTCCTCAATATTTCACCTGCCAAGTTTGGGGACTTAAAATTAACTTTAATTAAATTAACTTTAATTAAATTTTACCCTCTGATGGCAAAGCTAAGCAATATCAGTATGAAACCCAAGACTCGACTGGTACTAAAACAATTTTGAAAAAAAGATCCCTCATTCAGTAGTCTGGTGGCACAACTATGGACAGAATAGAGATGGGGTGCCAGATCTTTCTTTTGGCACATTAATTAATGCAGTTGTCAATACTTGCCTTACACTGGTGCCAGTCTATTTTTCTGCATTGCATGTTTTCGGTGCCTTAGGTTTTTGGACTGTACACAATATTTACAAATCTTTAGACTAATTTGCTGAAGTTTTCACAATTGTAAAGTTGTAATTTTTCTTCTGAAAGGTCACATATTGGACAAGAATCTTTTTCAAGAGAATGCCCTGGCACCAAAGATCCTCAGACGCATAAATGATGACCTATCTGGCTTGCCAGCACCATACCGTGTCACCAGGAACATGCTAATGGCTCCTGGTAGCCCAATCATCTATGAATTCTATAGGGTTCGACCAAGCAGCGCTGATTCTGGTGAGTAGGTCCCAGAAACTTAGGGTGTGCATTTCTCCATTTGACCTGAACCTTCCAACTGTCAAGGTTGGTTTGGTGTATTCGACTGCAAAAAGTCTGCAAGAAATTAAAGCTGCTTTCATTTGGGTCCTCTTTTTTCTCTAGTAATGAAGACCTTTAGTAGGTTCCAATTATAAACTGGAATTACAAATTCCAAATCAACCAGTAAAATTCATTATTCTGGTGCGGGAGTCTTAACTTTTTGCAAACATGTTTCATTAGAAGGGTGAGCAACTGAGAAGTATGGAAGCATGAAGTTGAACAGTGATACCTGTTTTGCCTATCATATGCACTGGTACACAGTGGTTGCTACCCATTCTGAGTGAGATGAACTATGTGTGAGGATGGGTTGACGTCATGGTCCATTCAACCTGCCTCAACTTGACACTTAGGGTGTGTTCGAGCGAGCTACTCATGTTAACACAAATATACTCCTGAGCGCTGAAACGGCTGGAGTACGACCCGTGGGTCAGTGAGAGTATACTCTCGATAGAGGGGGAGTATACTCCTGCACCTGAGTGTAATACCTACTTGTCTTTGTACACGAGTAACCCACACACACATCCTTCACTGGGGCCAAGTATTTTCCAACTGGATGAACGTGTACAAACTGATTTAAATGGGTCCGCTCAGTAGGGAATGTTGCTCTGCAGCCTTTCTCCCTGAGCAAAAACTCAGCCGGGAACCAGTCACCAGCCGTATATATGTAACCTTTTCTGGCGAAACAATGATTCTCTGAGCATTCAAGGGTTTTATTAAGTAGTTCCATGAAAGTTTTGAGAGAGGGGACTTTAGTTTATTTATTTTCTCGTATGTTATTTCAACCTGCTTATACTGATCAAGCTTAACCAATGGAATTCCTCTCTCAAGTTCATCACTGTCAACTGAGGAGCGATTGAAACGCAAGCTTAGTAAGCAGACAGTACTTAATGTGTCTGGTCTCTGTGGTGTACTTGAAATTGTCGATGCCCAGCTTTTGTAACGGAAGTTGTGGCTTGCTATTTGTTTTCAGAGTTGTGGTATTTTAAAAGGGAACAAAACAGAACATGCATCATCTTGTAATCAATGCTTGTGAATATGTCAAACAGTTTTGACAATCACAATATTTTCTGGGGGGCATTTCATTGATTATTCATGCATTCCCTAGTTCTGCCACTTCATGGAAGCCAGTTTCATGCAAAATATTGGGCTAATTTAAGATTTCGACAAAGTGCAAAACTACACATAGGCTTTTTTGGCCTTACTGTCAGGCACTGGACAAAAACTGGACTGGTATCCCTGCCACTTGCTTACAAATCTTGTGGCAATGTGAGCCAGGCTTTACGCTTGCTTCTGTCGTTCACACTTTGGGAAAAGACTGTCACAGACTTTTCTCTCTTGTTTTTGCATTCCCTTTGTACTAACCCAGACTGTGTACAAAGTACCTGCTTGATTGGCTGCTTTTATGGTGGTTTCTTTCTACTTCAGAGTCACATTCACTTGCCAAAAATGGACACTGTGGTCTGCAAAGTGCATGGCTTCTTGTAACATTTCCAGTGGTTGTTTCGTAATCTGCAAGCATGTTGTTTTGTCCTGTGGTGCACATCTTTATGGTATCCCACTTCAGTGATTGGCATGTGAGAGCACACATCCTGCAATCGAATCGACCAGCATCACATATTACAATCTTGCTTTGAGAATGGCTGAGCTCCAGGATTTTACCCAGATTTGTTGCTGTACACTTGACTAGTCGCATTTGACATGTTCTAATCCTTAGGGCGGCCATCGGAAGATGACTTTGACACTGACAGAGAAGGCCGGCGGACACCCATGGTGTCATTCAATATCCCTGGCTCCATTGCAGCCGTGGTGCGTGACGAACAGAACAAGCCCCACGCCGTCCCTTACTCCAGCCTGGCCCCCGATGAACAGCAGCAGGTGTTGCAGCGCCTGCTGCTGCAGAGTGCCATGCACAAGCAGCTGCTGGAGGCTGCCGAAAGGACCGGCCAGGAACTGGGCAGCAACACCTCTCTGGCTGGTAGCAGGCCGGTGACCGTGGAGAAGATCAAGAAGCTGAATATGGGCAACGCAATTGCAGTGAGTATTTCCGCAGTGGTGTGCTCTTCACAAGTGTATTTCAAGTTTGGACAGCAACCATTTGTTGGCTAGAAGTCAAGTTCCCCTTAGAATCTGTGAACAAAAGATCAGCGACCAGCAGCTGATGTACTGTCACTGCTCGAACCTGTCCTGAGCATGCATAAATACATGTAGTTGCCATGTTACTGCATGGACTGGGGTCAATGTCTTGCAACTGCTAAATACAGGATAGTACAAAGCACAGAAGAGAAATGCATATATGTAGCCCATAGAAATCATGTTGATTTACATTGATGTACATATGTGCATTATGGTGTATCTAAGGATCATTGTGAAATGGAAACAGTTTGTAGATAAAAAAAATTTTTCTCTTTTCTGAGTGCACTTGAAGCTTTTTTTTTTTTGGAGCAGCTTTTGAGTTAACCAGTACTTTAGAAATGTTTTGTAAGTGTATCAAGTTAACGAGGCTCCAAGATGCATGTTTTTTAAAAACCAAGGCTCATATTTCATAGCACTCCTTGATGTGACTCTTCCTTCCCAGACGTTAGTGGACACCAATACATCAGGCCTGCTGCAGGGGCAACAGGTATTTGATGACAAAGGCTTCAAGGAGCTTTATAAGAGGAAATTCGGTCAGCAAGCGGAACCATCACCTCCCAGTAAGAAGCCGTGATCCTGTCTCTGTATTCTCTGTCTTTCACCTTCAGACTAAACTTGCTGTTGTATCAATGTATTCGTTGTTTTTTGTACTAAACTAAACAAACACTTTCCATAAGATGGGAGGGTACATAAAGATAGCTGCACAAGTTCTGACCTGACTCAGGCTGTGCTAGCTAAGGTTTCTACATTCACTTTGGAGTTAGTCAATCTATCTCCACTTATCAACCTCATTCAACTACCTCAGCCTTTCTGCTTTATCCACCTTGAGGAGGAATACCCCCTCATCGGTTGAAAAGAGGCACATTGGTCGGGAACGTTCATTTTGTTGGTAGCGATACGGTTGTAACCCGTGCATTTCCTAGTTGTTTGTGAGCCAGCAAAGTTCATTTCCAACCAAAGGAGCCTCCGTTGCTAGGAAAGTTGAGCCCTCGCTTGGTCCAGCTCGAGGCTCATTGTAGACTTTGTTCAGTAGCAGGGAGGATATGACCAGCTGTGACAATACTTGCCAATCCTTTGCCATTCACTCCTGTGTTACAATGCACAATGTGAGAGTACACACAAGTGACTTTCACCTGAATGTGCAGAGACCAGCAGCATTATTGCATTGCTGCCAAGCAGAAGGCAGCTGTGGTATTGAAGTGTTATTTTTCTGTTGTTCATTTTATTCAGTTGTAATAGACAGTGGATTTTTGTTTTCAGCTATTCGGAAAGGTCTGACCCACAGTGCCCGTCGGTCCCACTTCCCCAGTGTTCCCACTCTCCCGCCGATCGTGTCATCATCACCCACTTTCAAACCAGCAGAAAGACAAACCCTGAAGCTGGACTCCAAACTCCCCCAGATTACAATGGAACCGCCCACTCCCCAGCACCCGGTGCTAAGCAATAATACGCAGAGTCAGCAGAATTCATCATGGGGACAGGAGAGCGAGGATTTCAGGGAATCCTGGCCTTGTGAGTTTCTGTTCTGTTTTCTGTCAAGCACTGCTGAGCTGAAAATAAGGAGAGATGGATGGACACCTGACATGATACTAATAGACATCATTCATGTACAGTACAGGTCAGAATTTTAGCCGACACGGTAACACGATCAGTGAACCTGACATGCTGTTTAATACACGCTTTACGGTTTTTACCATGCTTTGCTGGTCCACTGCACGATAAGCCTGACCCCGGACCTCATTATCTCGGCAGGGCTTATGACCGCAGACCGCAAAGGTGCCCGACAACATGCAGTGTACCACTGCACACGCAGGGCTATCGCTCCAGCTTCGTGTGCGCGTGTATACTGTACACATACATGTACAGCATTCATGTACATGCAGTGCCTGGCTGGCAAGATGACCGTCTTGAAGTATTGAAATATGTATCACTGTCACAGCCGTTTTCTTTTGGTTTTGGATCGCAAAAGTTGTTCAGTTGGATTACATCTGGAAACTGTCAAATTTCAGTGATTAACGGGCCAGTAGTCCACCGTGTGTGTTCAGCTACTACAAAAGTTTTTCCCAAATGTAAACTTTTAAGTTTGAACTCATAGGATCGACTGGAGTGATGGCGACGCTATTCTTGTTGGTTCTAATGCTAGGTCGGTTTTAAATTTGAGCAACTCACTATTGCGTGAGAAACTTTTTCACAAATGAACAGTAACCACGAAAGAAATCCATTCC